TTTAAGAACCTGGATACTGGTAAGGAGGGTGTTGGCATCAACTGTGATAGTGAAGAACACAGGTGGAGCAGGTGGTGGGGGCAGGGTGAGAGACGAGACTGGAAAGTTCAGTTTGGGTACACAAAATTTGGAATACCTATTAGACACTCACGTGGAGCTGTCCAGCAGACAGCTGTGTAGAGAAGTCTGGAGTTCACCAGCAAAGATTGAACTGAAATCTAAACGTTGAAGTCTCTCGTGTGTAGCCATGAGATTTGCTTTGACTTTGCTCAGTCATCTTATTTTTGCTTGAAAAGAAGCCAAAAATTCATATTTCTTCTGTGAAACTTTCCAAATTAAAAACAAACTGACAGACTGCATTTCCCTGAACTGTCTTGATTCCTCTTGCTTTCATCACACTTTTCCCAGGCCTCATCCATTCCAGCTGGAAACTTCAGCCGGGCCCCAGTTAAAGCTGAGTTACAGAGAAATACCCACTCTGATCTTCCTGAAGGAAAGCTGCGGGGGGTCCTTTTGTTCTTCCTAACGCTCATGTAGAGAGAGCATGTTCAGCTGAAAGTGTGCTTGCCAGGATGCTTGAAATTGGACTCCGGTTTAAATACTCAGAAATCTCTGTCTCTAGTCTACCTAGTGGTTCTATCTCGCAACATCCCACAAAATCTTCTCTCTGCTCTGAAGCCGTTTCTTTGGCTGTCTCCATTGCTGTGCATTTGCCTCCAGTTTAAATACTCAGAAATCTCTGTCTCTAGTCTACCTAGTGGTTCCATCTCCCAACATCCTACAAAATCTTCTCTCTGCTCTGAAGCCGTTTCTTTGGCTGTCTCCATTGCTGTGCATTTGCCTTTAAAGAGAAATACTCTGTTTCTTCATATTTCCCATGAACAGCCAAACACAACACAAAACCACCACCTTGAGGCCCAAACCATGTACCGCTGCAGGATGGACGGTGACCTTAGGTACATGGACCACTCTAGATGAACCTTCTCACTTTACCTGTTACCCGGATTGTCAATAGCCCCACCTAGCAATGATCCTTCTCTTTTGGAAGAAATTTTTATTTGGATAAACATTATACAGACTTTTAACCCTCTGACTTCTTTTTTTCTCCTTTCTTTTCTATCTGTTCTCTTTCTTTCAACCCTTTCTCTCATTTCCCTTAAGACAATGCACATTCTGCTTTTATACAGAAGCTAAGAGCTTCCAATGTGTCTGCCACACTATGTGAGTTTTTCCTGGGACACATCACCATGCTAGCTTGTCTGGGCTTTGGGGAGTAAGAGGAAAGTCATTGTGTCCATGCCGAAAGCTTTCTTTATTAAACATTGTGCACCAAAGGAAGTCACATCCATCCAGATGCAGTTACAGATGCAATATCGTTAGGATTTTAGAAGACAGACGTTCAATGTGTTTATCTCCTAGCAGTTTGGATTAAGAGCCTAACACCTAAAAGACTGAGTGCCCTCACACTTAATTGACTCTTTTCACTTCCCAGTTCTATGATGGGTCTTTTTCTGGGCTAATGTCTTCGATGCTCCGTTTATGCCACATAGAGAGAGAAAAAAACAAAAGCCCAGTTAAAACGAACTGATTAAAGAACATGGAAACTATACTCATAAAACTGCCCTTTTTAAATAAGAAAATCGGTGTTACGCATCTTCTATCTCAAGCGCCTATTTTACAGATGAGTTTTTCTAATCACAGTGTGCATTGAACCAAAATGAACCAAGCTTGAAGGCAACTCTCCTAGTGCTCATTTATTAGTATTTTTTTTTCTTTCTCATTCTGGGAAAACTAGATTTTTCCTTACTCAAGTACTCTTTTACCCTTCCAGGAATGCATCATTGGTTTTTCTGAGTGACCATAGACAAATAAGTTTCTAGTAAGTTAATACATTTTTATTGGTAAATTGAGTTTATCACTGCAAAATAAGGTCTGTGTGAGGCATATTAAAGATGTGTTCTAAGTGCCCAGATATTTCTTAGAGTTTTTGCCTAAACCCTTCTCCCTACATGCCGAAGTAGATTTTGTAATCTTTTGTTTTAAAAATATTTAAAGGGGAGCAGGTGCTGTGTGCCTTATGCCTGTAATCCCAGCACTTTGAGAGGCCGAGGCGGGTGGATCACCTGAGGTCAGGAGTTCCAGACCAGCCTGGCCAGCCCGTAGTAGAGAAGGCTAAACCCTGTCTCTACTAAAAATACAAAAATTAGCCAGGTATGATGACAGGCGCCTGTAATCCCAGTTACTTGGGTGGCTGAGGCAGGAGAATCACTGGAACCCAGGAGGTGGAGGTTGCAGTGGGCTTAGATCTTGCCCACTACACTCCAGCCTGGGTGACAGAGCAAGACTTCATTTCAAAAAAAAAAAAAAAAATTAAAGTGCAGAAAGTGTTTCTTTTTCTTTTTGTAATTACAGGAATATTCTTTCTTACTCAAAGTTAAAATTCTGTTAGTTGAAAGTAAGAGAATGCCAGCTCGAACTAGCCTAATTGCAAAGAGGACCCTTTTCCTGGAAAAGGGTTGGGCTATTTCACAGAATCCAATATAGATGAGAATAGCCAGTCCTCAGGAAGTTCATGGGTGCAATGAAGTCTCAAGAACAGCAGGGACCCACCACACAGTGTTGGCATGTCCCTTTTTTGCCGCATGCTGCATGTCAGCATATCTTTTTATTCTGTCTCTCTTTCACTGCAGACAAACTTTCTTTTGTCTGAAAACACGACCACTGAGAATGTCTGGGTTTTTTATTTTATAGTTTCAGCCACCAAACAAAGGCAACCCTGAACTTTCTTGGGGCCCGAAACAAAAGAACTACAGAATAAGCACCTATTGAGTGTGCTTTGTTCCGTTTTTCTTTCTTAAGGCAATTTCTTTCTTGTTGGGGGAGGGCAGCAATAATACTATCATTTGCTCATTATGGAGATCTCTGTGTGTGTTTGCATGTGTGCTATGCGGAGGGGGATGGGATGGGGCAAAAGGAGGTGTGGGAAGGTCATGGAAAAACTGGGCAGCTTCAGAAGAGGAAATTATGGCAAAAGGTAAACTGCAGGGGAAGCAGTATTTCAGAAGCAGGGAGATGCTGGGATGTGAAAGAAAACAGGGTATGGGGACAGGGGGCATTCAAAACAGTGCTAGCCCCCCAGGATCTCCTCAGGACATGCCTGGAGAAAGAGATCCTTACTTGGATGAGGACATCAAGGCTCTAAGTTTTTGGAACTTCGCTCCGAGGACAGGCATAGAGCAGGAGAGGATCTCGAGTTACCCAAGTGAGAAGCCTGTGGCCTTTCCTGTCCATCAAGACCAGGAGAGTGGATGGGAATAGAGAGGAGAGGTAGAATTTGAATAGAGAGAGGACCACTGTCTTGTTCGTTTGTTTGTTTGACTGTTTTGTGTGAATACATTCCATAGCAAAACTATGGGCCCTTCATTTAAATCTTTCCCGTACTTTAGGCTATCCTTGAATACCATAAAGTTATCAGCAAGCTTTTCCCAAACATAAGCCCCGTCAGCACAATTGTATGTTTGCTGTGCTGAGCAGAAAATTTCTAATAATATGTCTGAACATATGCAGGAATATTCGTTTCTGGGCTTTGAAACAATCATTGCTGGAGGCTTTCCTACCTATATAGGGCAGTCAGAGTAAATCATCTTACTTTTGCTTGCCTCAGATTCTTAGTGGCTTCACAATGAACCCATTTATTGTATTACATACCACTTCTGTAACTTCATTGCTTGCACCCTCTTTCTTTTTAAAGTCACGGAATTTATTCTCCTATACTCTCTCAGGCCCTATAAAGATTGTTTTCAAAAATTATGGTACGTATCATTGTTTTAACTCTTAATTTTATTCACTACATTTACTGAGCACCAGCCAGGTTATCTCTTAATGGCAGCAGTATAAGAGGTGCAGAGAATAACCCAAAGGCACCATGTAGTAAATGGCATTTGAACTCAGATACGTGTTTCCCTAAAGTCTGTAATTTCTGTACGGAAGAAATAAACGTTACCTCCACTCCCATTAGCCCGACTAATTCTAAAGACTTTTCCTTTCCACTATTTTTGAAATTTATAAAGGCTGTGTTTTATTTGATTGTGTTCATGCTTCGTATGTTAAACTTTTACTTAATCTAGTCCTGGTCTGTTATAATCACTTTTGTCCACATCATTTGTTGTAGTTTTATGATAGTCCATTAATTTTATGTACTACAGATTTCCTAAGTAATTTTCTAATGCTGGACACTTATGTCGATTCACCATTATGAATGGCATCATTGTGAATAACACTCATTAGCCTATATATTTTTCATATTTTGTACAATAGCCTTAAGAAAGGGTCATCTCAGTGTGATTGCTGATTCAAATTATATAAATATTGTATAGAGTTTTTTATGTGTGTGGTAAAAATATTTTTCAGAATAGCCATATTATTTTGGCCTTAAGTAGTGAAGCCTTTGTTTTGAAGATAATATTTATACTTTTACAAATGATAAAGTATCCTTGCATTTTAGATACACAAGTATCATCTTTTCTAATTTCATGTTGTCTTTGTGCAGTTTAAAATAGATACCTGGTCATTCCCCAAAAAAGAAGCATGAGGACAGTGACCTCAATTATCTGCCTCTCCTTTAAAAATGCAAAACCATTAAAAAATGTAAAATGATGATCTTTATACATTTTATTTTTTGGTAAGTGAAAAACCTTACAAATTCTGGCCACTTCAAATTAACTTTAAGTCAACATGAATTTGCCTCAGTAATAACATTCTTAACTTAAATACCTACATCAGCTCTGAGACTTACATTGCCCAGTAATGCAAGGTGATTCTACCTTTTGTGGTAAAACTGTAATACTCATGCTATTTTGACGTCATTCAACCTGCCTTAGGTATGGGAGTATAGCAAATCAATATCTACTATTAATTGAGGCAGTTGGATATGAGGCATTTTTGCTTTCCCCTTTCTGTCAATTGATTTGGTTCTTTTCATTTATGTTTTCTTTCATTAGGTGTTTGCCAAACTACTGTGAACATGGAGGAAGCTGCTCCCAGTCCTGGACCACCTTCTATTGTAACTGCAGTGACACAAGTTACACTGGTGCCACCTGTCACAACTGTGAGTAGATTGAGCATCTGCCCCTGGTGGGATGGACAAAATTCCAGGAATACCATTGTTAACTTCAGGATCTATTTAGCATGGGGCAGGCATGTTTTATTGACTCATTCAACATGTGTGTTTTAAGAGGTTATTATATACCAAACACTTTGTTGGGCACAGAGGATGCATGGATACAAGCCATATTCTTGTGGAGTTTATGGTCTACCAGCAAAACAGACAGGAAATGGGATCATGACAACACAGTTGAATAAGTTAATAAGTTTAAGGTGGAAGCAAGGGAAGGTGCCGTAGGCACACAAGAGGGAGCTATTAAGTCAATTGCATTGTCTTGATGAGTTGTTAGGCTGCTGTAATAAACAAACTAACATCTCTGTGGTGTAAGTAACAAGGTCCACGCCATGCCTGTGTCACAAGCCCATCAAGCATGACAGAGGCCCTTCTTCCACCTTGTCCTCATTCTTAGATGGTAACAAAGTTCTATTATCTGGAAGGTTGCTGTGGTAAGAGGAAACACAGGGAGGGAAGCACAGGGAAGCATGCAGTAGCTTTTCAAAGCTTCTACTGGAAGTAGAAAACATTACTTCCACTCACATTCTATTGGCCAAATAAAGCCCTGTGGGCACACTCAACTTCAATAGGGGCTGAAGTACAATTTTTACCATGGAAGGGGAGAAAAGAGAACCTGAATATTGGTGATAAGTGCTAATGACTGCCTGTCAAGCCCAGTGTTAGGGAGACTTCAAATAGAAGACCTGAGCTGATCTTGTTGTAGAAATATAGGAGAAAAAAAAAAAAAAAGAAAGAAAAAGGATACTCAGAAGCAAAGAAACAAATGGAGACATAAAGCACAGGGGTCCTCTGCTCTGTGGAAAATCAAAATTTTCCAATAGTTCCAGATGACTGGAGGGTGCTGAAAATGAGGAGGAGTGGTAAGAGGTGAGACAGAGGTAGGCTGGAGTATACACAGGATAAGGAGTGAGGGATAGAAAACAAGTAAAGAATATGAGCCTTCATTTTTTTAAATTAATTAATTTTTTTTTTTTTTTTTGAGAGAGAGAGTTTTGCTCTTGTTGCCCAGGCTGGAGTGCGGTGGTACGATCTTCGCTCGCTGCAACCTCCGCCTCCTGGTTTCAAGTGATTCTCCTGCCTCAGCTTCCTGAATATCTGGGATTACAGGCACCTGCCACCACACCTGGCTAAATTTTGTATTTTTGGTAGAGACGGGGTTTCGCCGTGTTGGCCAGGCTGGCCTCGAACTCCTGACCTCGTGATCCACCTGCCTCAGCCTCCCAAAGCGCTGGGATTACAGGTGTGAGCCATTGGGCCCGGCCCAGCCCTGATTTTTATAATTGTATAGTCTTATTGAGACCATGGGTGGGGGAAAACACATGAAAAAGTATAGAAAGTTTGCCAGTCAGAGAAATGTATGCCCAACTATGGACTGTAAGTGTGATTGAGAAAGATACTTCTGAAAGCGCTGTGTGGAACTGTAGAGCATTTCATGAAAAATTAGGAATTTGAAATTGGCTTAGAAGGTAGAAGGGTAAGATAAACATTTTCTAGACATAAGAGTAGAGCCAAGGCCTGGAGCTATTCTGAGGACTACAGTGAGAACTATCATTCTGGGACAGTTCCTGCCAGTTTTTCTTAAGTGCCTGCTGTTGCTGGACTGGCACTTGGAGATTCAGAAAGAGCATAGTAGATGTCAATAGGGCTGGAACCAGACCGAGCAAAGGTAAGTGACATTGATATTCTCATCCTTAAAGACCTCTCAGCCATTCCTTAGCCTCCTCCATTCCTTCAAAGCAGGATTCACTGATGATGTCCATAGGGAAGTCTGATCAAATTAGAGAAGAACTAGTCCTCTCGTCCACTGGTCATCGGAGAGTATGTAGTTATTGCTGTTAGTTGCCTACAGAAACAAAAAAAAAATTGTTTGGCTTTATTAAAAAAAAATCTTATTAAAACTTTTCTACTGAAAAATTTAGAATTCAAAGTAACTAGAAGAGTACCATTGGATTGTTCATACCATAAAGGGGTATGCTTGAGGGGATGAATAGCCAATTTTCTATGAAGTGATTATTATGCACTGTATGCCAGTACCAAAATATCTCGTGTACCCCATAAACGTATACACCTACTCTGCACCCACAAAAATTAAAAATAAAAATAAAAATTAAATAAAAATTAAATTAAAAGGAAATTAAGAAAAAAGAACACTGGAATAACAGAGATTGAATTTAAATTTTACCTAGCTCTTTTTTTTTCTTTTCTTTCCTTTTTGATGTGGAGTCTCACTCTGTTGTGCAGGCTGGAGTGCAGTGGCGTGATCTCGGCTCACTGCAACCTCCGCCTCCTGGGTTCATGCCATTCTCCTGCCTCAGCCTCCCGAGTAGCTGGGACTACAGCCGCCCGCCACCATGCCTGGCTAATTTTTTATATTTTCAGTAGAGACAGGGTTTCACCATGCTAGCCACAATGGTCTCTATCTCCTGACCTCAGGATCCTCCTGCCTTGAACTCCCAAAGTGCTGGGATTACAGGCGTGAGCCATCGTGCCTGGCCTTTACTTAGTTCTTATATGTGAATACGTATATGATTTTATCACTTTGGGGATCCTTTCATTTTTTTGCAGGTCCTAGGAAGAAAAACTGATGAATTCTTGTGGGTTCATCTAAGGCTAAAATTAGGTGTTTTTATCTAAGAACCCCAGTGAACACCAATTTCTAAGTTTTAAGTCTGGTTCCAAAAATACTATCACCAAACAGCCAAGAACAATATATACCTATAGAGAAACATTGCAGGGCCCACATAAGGCCATCCAGATTGTAATGTCAGTGCCGCTATGAGAAGTTCAGAGACAACTTAAATGGCCATCAATTTAATAGCAAGACAAGGGAAACATGAAGATTTAAGTCACAGCAACCCTAATTTCAGCCAAATCACATTACAACATTCCTGTGACTGTTAAAGCTTATTCCGCTCACTTTCTCCAAAAGTAATTTAACAATTTTTTGAGGAGTTCATCTCTATGGATACTGTTCTCCTTTCATTTACTTCATCCATCAGGCTAAAAATAGAAGATGTCGAGCTTTAAAAAAAAAGTGTGAAGTTGAAAATCAATGGAGGTGAGGTGCTGGTTTTTAAAGGAACACTGTCAAGCCTGATAAGCAGGAGACTCAACACACAAAAACCTTAAAAATACCATTTTTTTAAACACCTTCCTATTTCCTTTTCTGTGAAATTGCTCAATGCCTACACTGTAGGCTGCGACTTTGTGAAACTCTATCTCGCTTCTGGGCACCCAGCCAGAACCGATCAAAATCCCTTGAATATTTGTGACATTTGGCAAGCACACCTTAGTACTCCGTGCAATTCAAATATTTGTCCTCCCTCTAACTAATTTCCCTCTCCCCCAGTTGGGTGAGGACCATTGTTTTTAGTCATTTTGCAAACCAAGTGATTTCATCAGCAAGCTTGTGTCTCCCTCTCAGCAAGCATGGGTCGCACTCACAGGCCAGGTGAGAGCTTCTGCAGTGCAGAAGATGGCACACAAGGCACTCTCCGGCAAAAACAAAAACAAATAGGCCTGAAATTCTGCACTTGTGGAAATGACAGATTCCTTGCTGCGTTGAGGAATGTTTTACTGAAGGAATTGGCCACAGTCGAAATAAGAAAATAAAAACTCTTTGGATTAATAAATTATTTATAATAATGTCTTGAGTATTCTCTTAGTTTTGTCAAGCTCTTCAGAAATAGTCTTTCCCTCTTCATTGCTGGTGCTTTCTAGTAAATGTGAAGCAAGAGGACAGACTTAGGACAGATAGGATTAACTGCTTTTTGTCCAGCCTTTGTGGACAAGAGAGGGCCTGGGTGAGGTAGGCACAATGGACTCTCTAAGGAATAACAAAATGGAAATTCCCGAAGCGTGTAGACACAGCATGCTGTTGTCGAAAGTAGAGATATCTTCAGTCAGTCTTAATTTCTTTTTATCCTTACTTGATGATATATAAGGGACTTGGATATGCAAGTTTGGTCACTTTTCAAATGTACATCGTTCAAAACCACCTTTTTTAAGAAAAAGGTGATGAATGTGTGGGCAATTTCTGTCCCATCTGTGGCAGCTTTCCCATATGAAGAGGAGATCTACCCCATAAAGTGCCATTGGAGACTATCATATGATGTTTGTAAGTTGTTATGGTTAGAAAATTTCTCTGAAAGTGGTATCCTATTCTCCAGGGGAGTAACTGAATAAAAACAGTGTTTGCAGTCCACCAGATCAATCCCTGGCAACCCAACCAAGTTCAATGCTTTCCAACTCCCAGAGATAGATACCACGGTTATTAGTTGAATACAGCGTGCAAGTTCAGAAGGTTGTATAATCAAAGCCAAGCTTCTAAGTACTCAGGGTATATTTTGGTCATGGTATATCATATCTACTTTATTAAGAATCCAAATTAAGATACAAAGGAGCAGATTTTTGATTGTGAGATATTAGGGCATAGATAGATAGATAGATAGATAGATAGATAGATAGATAGATAGATAGATAGATAGATATCAGTACAGCATAACAATAAAGGGATATGCATAGTGTTATTATCTCCATTTTACAGATGAGAACATTGAGGCCCAGAAAGCTTATATAAATTCTACAAGGTCTATTATCTAGTAAATGGTAGAGGCTGCGCTTTAAACCAAGGGACTTTGCCTGTTGATGCCAGATGCTAAATCCTGCATCTTATTTATACCTTCAAACAAGCAAGGCATTTGTAAACTTCCATATTACAAACTTGGTGATGGGACATTGACAACCTCCTTTATGTTGCTTAAGACACAGTAGAATAGTGTGAGATCATAATTGAAAATACAGTTCTAGAAGACTGAGAGATGAGAAAGTTTTTGTGTTCTAGAATAATCGTGAAAGCATTATGGAAGGAAATAGAATGACTTGGAGGACTTCTAAAATTGAAATAGACAAAAGGAAAAGGGAGGTTT